CCAAGAAATATGACCGCTGTCTTCAGGATTTTTCGCTGGAGAATCATCCTCAACCGATTCTACTTCGATGGCCGCCATTTTACTTCAAAAATGCAGTGTCTCAAAGGATGCTGGGCATTACCAAAACCATGCACCATGCGGTCAGTCAGTTCACACGAGGGGACATGTCGGAGCAACACAAGGGTCTTTCTTACGCAACACATTTTCTTTTGTGTTACATTTGATCAGGTGCAGTTGGACAATCCTAGAAGTGTGTACTCACTTCCAGAAGATTCTGACGGATTTGACGGTAAATTTTCTTGTTTGCTTATTTCTAGCGAACACTGCTATTTTAGGAAAGCTATTCCACTGGGACCATCATGCACACGGTCAGAACTCCCCTTTTTGTCAGATTTCTGATTCCATTCCTCCGGCAGATCGCTGTAGATCAGAAAACGAACTTATTCAAGTGCATTTTGTAGACTACTTTCTTACACACTTGACATATTCAACTTAACCTTAATTCCTTCCATCACTTTTATATTCAATATGTTATAAATATTCTTGCAAACGGGCTTCAAAATCAAAGTGATGAGGAGTCTATATAAAAAAAAAAGCAGAAATGCTTGAGGTAACAGGCTCCCTTCAGCAGTCATTCCTTAAGTGCATCTGTTATCTAAACACCTCGAATTTTGTCAAAAATACTCCGCTGCGCGTCGTATTTTCAACTCTCCTCTCAATGTTTGGATATCCCAACGAAACACGGTCTCTCATGTTTGATACATTAAATAATTGTAGAAGCAATAAAGATTTAAAAAAAGGGCTCATTGGAGAGTTATGTGCCACTACTGTCATTGCTCTGCTTTGATAGAGTTTTTTGCTTTGTACATTTTTAAAAAAATGTATATATATAATTATTTTTTAACCCAATATACGATGTGCATGATGGTGTGAATTGACTACAACTACCAGAATACTAGTAATACTTCACTTTTTCTGTTTCTTATGTTCATCGTTATTAAAACCCCACTGGGGCTTCAAAATTTCAAAAATAAAGAAAAAACGAGTTGTAGTCAAATGACGCTATCGTGCAAATCTGCTATTAACCAAACATCTCTTGTCCATTCTTGCCCAACTTCATCCCCTCGCGTACAAGCGAACATCAAAAGTTCAAGTAAAGGAAAAGTCATTGTAGACAACTATCAAGACTATTTTACATGTACACTCAAGTTTCATTTGTTTGCTTGTGTTTGTTTATTCTCCTTTCTATAGTGGATGCAGACGAAGAAGATACAGAAATCAGGATTGTCAAAAGAGTAGAAGACTACTACCCTGAAAACAAATTCACTGCCAGGTACAATAATGAAAGAGTTTTGGTGTTTATTTGAATATGAAGTGCTTCAGATCATAGTACAGTGCACCATAGTTATTAGAGGGGAATGTTTCTGAAACCCAACAAAGTTCTTTGTTGTATGTTTTTTTTATCTTTTTTGGCTTTGATCGTGCACAAAACAGTGACAAAACCTCAATAGTTGTTTACTTCTGAGGAATTAACCAACAGAAACGTTTTGGTTACGTAATTCATGCATGGTGTATGAGTGCAAAACAAAAGATTGCACGGTTGTGGTCCCTTGGCATCTTTGTTTGCTGGGTTTCAAAACCATTCCACTCTATTACTATGAGTCCACTAAATGCGTCTGACTGGCCCTGCCCTTGCAGAGAACGATTGATGATCAACGAATACTTCACGCTGCTCGCCTCTCTAGAGTACAACATGCAGGAGATGTACAGAGGACAGAAACTGGCCAACGATCTTGTGGACATTACAGTCACGGTAACAAATGATACTCTGCTCTACTTAATTAAGGAAAAAAAAATAGAGAGGAAACATTTTCTGTGTTTTTATCAAGTAATAGAAACACGAGTGGAGTATAAAGAAAGAGAATGCGCAAGACGAGCTTCTGGCGGCTGTTCCTTCAGCATTTCTACGAGTTTTCTTGCGAGTTTTCTATAAATTTTCAACCAAGTGTTCTATCGAGGTTTATTCCGAGTTTTCTACCGAGATTCTTGAACTTTTTTTACGAGCGGTAATCGGCTACAAGCCGGCCAGTACGAGCTCATATATAGCACAAGAGTAAAATGCACAGTCATACAAAAGACTGAGATATTTTTTGTGTCCGACAGATACCAGATGTGCCAGAGGAGCTGATCTGATACACCGAGAATCAAGAAGTACCACAAGACCTTCAAATGTTTGGCCAAACACCAGTCTAACACTTGATTTCACAGAAGAGATTAACCAGTTTTGGTTATTTGCTGATGTTCCAATTAGTTGGAGTCAAATCTTTGTCATTTGCTAGTTGTATTTGCAAGGCCGTTTTTCACATTGTGTTTCTGACGCCAAAAAGGTTATAACATAACATCAAACATCAGGCAATGATGCTGTGATATTTTATTTATTTACAGTGAGCAAAAAAAAAATCATTTTCCTTGCATTTGGTTAAATCTACTTTCACTCAGTTATTGTGAAAGTAGGTTTACCTCCAATCTCGAACTCACTGCTATCTGAAACAATTTTTCATTTCCCTTGAGAGTTCAACATAGATACTCTATCAAACATCATTCTTAGGTTGAAATATTCCATTTATAACTGTCGGTTTCCACCGTGAAAGGACTCATTTC